TTAGACAGGGCTCCGTACCACCAGGTAATATCTTTTGGAGGAATGGATTCATTTGCGATAGGCTGGCAACCAGTCCAGGATGTGCCCTGTCTTCGCCCTAAGTTCAGTTCAATTCAGTTTTATTTCTATAGCACCAATTCACAACATATTTCATCTCAAAGCATTTCACATTGGAAGGTGAAGACCATATGAATTTTAAACAAAGAACAGAGATCCCAACAATCCAAAGCTGCCTTTGAGGATTAGAGGATTAGGCAGTATAGATCACGGATAGATGGATAGAATGGGTTCATCGCTCCAGTAGAAGTACAGAAATGTGAAAAATCCATGCTGTAGTGTTTTGATTGTTCTGGTGGCATGTGGTGGCCACCACAACACTTTTTGTTTCCTTTTTCCTTTAATGTGTCACCTGTCTGTAGTTTCCTGGCTGCCTGTGGAAGAAGTAAGAGTACCCATTTTCAATCCAGAGGGCAACACTTTGACTGGTTAATGATTTCTAGAAGAAACCCGCCATTACGATAGACCTATTTGAATCACTGAGCATATCAGTGATGAGGTCTGAAAATAACGTGTAAAACTAGACGTCTACCAGGGCTCTTCCAGCAGGCAGGGCCTGCAGGATTAGATAACAATGCAAACCCAGTCTAAGTTGGTATTTCTAAACCAAATTTGCAGATAATCAAATTACTTGAAACCAAATGACATAGTTAACCTTACGGTTTGGGAGCATTTCGAGCCCTGGGGTAGTTAAGACAAGTAATCTAACCTTTTTCTGTATAAGGGGTTTAAAAGCTTGTCTGTTCTTCAGTGATGGAAGCAGTCAGGTAGGATGGGGAGATAGAGGGTTGAACATAAAGACATGAAGGAGATAAAAGGTTGAAGTTTTCCTCTCACGTCCTGCAGCGTAACAGCTGCTACATGCCACACGATGCATCCGGCACATGCTCTATTCATACAACACCAGACAGTGCATACCAGTACACTTCCTCTTGTGACACTCTCTCAGACTGAGGGACAGCTGGATTCTACAGATGGCACACGAGCAGAGATATTCAAAGCATTCAACATACGTGACTGTTCCCATCAGCAGCAAGGGTTCCTACATACCACTGATTCATCGTTTACTGATGGTGACGTGATGTGATGAGCTTGTTAAAAAAAAGAAAATCTAAACGCAGTGTATAAAATAGCTGGTATTGTGTAAATCCCTTGCCGAGCCTTGCCATCATTTTTATGATATTTTATGAAGTTTGACCATTTTTGTTAGTCACATCTGCTTTATCTAAAACACAAGAAATCACACAAAACACTAACAGTCATTTTTTGATCTAGATGTCTGCACAGTTGGCCAATAAACACTGATCTGTTGCGTTATGGAATGCGGGGTTTTAGCGTGGTCTAAGGCAAAGACGTTTGAGTTATTACATCAGGGATTATATGCATTATAAATACATCATCACACTCCGGAGAGAAAAGGGCCCCGCCATCATCGGACACTCCGCTGCCTGCTTGTTGTATATAATGTGCAAATCGTGCACTTAAATCTGTCTAATTGCTAAACTGCTCTTTATGCCTTTTTATCGCACACACTCTAACACACACATGTGCGGCTCCAGACAGTTCAGATGAGACTTGTCACGTCCGTTGACATAGGGCCCAATTAAAGGGGAGGATTAAGCTGGGGCTGGGTGACCTCCTGAGGAATCTGTCCGAGATGCTGTGTGTACACTGTCAAACCCTCTGACAGACCTTCCCTTTAAGCACTTTCACCTGCTAATTAAGACACAGGGCCGTTGTGTGTGTCTGTACACGTGCACCTGCGCATATATGTGTGTGTGTGTGTGTGTGTGTTCATTCACCACACACACACAAGACAAATGTACCCTCGAATGTCAGGGATAGATTTGCAGCCCGAAAAGCTTCTATGTAAATATTTGACTTTGAGTATTGTATGGGTTTTTGGAGCTCATTCCAACACACGTCAGCGCTACGGGCTAACAGCAAACAGATAGGGCCTATCATTTATAACGTTAAATTATTACATGTTTTGGTGTGCGCATCTCACTGGTGTGTGTAGAGGCTCCTCCGCAACAAAAGCCAAGCAGTGTTTATGGTTTGAAGAGATTAAAATGGATAGCGGCGAAGCAGAAGCAGTGAGCTGTTGCTAGACAAAGCACTCAATGACTGATTAGCACTGTGTCGCTACAGTTTTTGCACAATGTGGAGAAAAGGCCTGTAGAAATCACACACTTCTCTTTGGTATTCTTTGTATTTAGCAAACTGAACAGGGGCAGTGGAAATTGGTGGAATAATAACTTGGAAGTCAAAGCCTAGGTGGAGATGGGCCTATAAATAGGGACATAAATATTAGAAAAGGTCAACTGGAGGAGAGAAGAACACCAAAAATTCCATTATTTAAGCAAACCACACTGTGTAATCTACAGAAATACGCAAGTATTGAACAAAACGGTTTGCCAAGGGGATGGGAGATTCAACAAAACACGATGTGACTTTAAACCAAGTGAAAATGATCAAGATGATCTCCTGGCCTCTCTACACTTTTTTACATTTTATCACCAATGTAGCCACTTTAGCCAAGAAGTAAACCAAGTCATTTCTGCAGTAAAACATGACAAAGTTACAGTAAAATTCAAGGGATTACTTTGATGCATAGTTTTCATGATGAAGACTATGTGTTTAACCGATACCAAAAAAAACCCTGATTTTAAGATTGGCAGTGCAGCAAGTTTGAACCACAAACTGTATATCAAGATGAACGAAGGGACCATGACATCACCCAAACACACACATGCTCAGGCTTTTTTTTTTTAAAGTAGCCATTGTACAGTGTCAGGACAGGGAGCCAGAGCGGTCTATAGACAGGCACTGTATGCATTGTTTAGCCTCCACACATTCTCAGCTGTAACACTGAACCCTTTAAGCAGGGTTTAGTGAGGCAGTAGCTCTCTGAAACAACAGACATCACACACTTTGACACCTGCTGTGTGACAAATGAGGACATATAAACGCATGCATCAGATACATTCATGGAACATTGTACAGTCAGATTTTTGGACCACTTCTGATGTTGTTATTTTCATACATCACATTCCATAAAGCATTCACATCAAAGCTAAGAATAAACAACTACATCCTTGATGTGTCCAGTTGGCATCCTGTGTTGACAGACAGTTAGGAGCTCTGTGCTGTGTAGGAGCTGCAGTTGGCCCACGCTGCCCTCAGGAGAGTGGGCACTGAGCTGGGTCCAGCCTGGACAAATGTCCAACTGGTATGTTGGAGCTGGAGGAGGGGGTCCCTTGTTTAATGTAGGCTGGATCATACTGCTGATAACAAAAACTGCCTGCTTCTGGGTGACTGATTTAACATTCATTTGTAGAAATTTGTGTCAACCTGATAACTAATAGCAATAGCTGCTCTACTTTTAGCTCTGTTTTGGTTTCCACCAACTCCTGAAAGGAAATATCTGACTCTTAATCTGCTAAGTGCTCCACTATGTTCACTGGCTGGTGGATAACGGTGTCTGTCTGCAGTTTGGTGTCAGGCAAGAGGTGTATAGTGCATTTATCTGGACTTTTTCTTCTTTTTTAAATGAAACAGCTGCATACTGCAGCTGGATACATAAACAAGCATGAGAATAAACCTAAACATTAAAGCTGCAAAACATAAAACAATAAACTGAAAGACACATAAATGCTCTCCAAGGCTGAACTGATAAACTTTGTAGGTTTATCACTGCAAGTGCACTTTTTGTATTACATTATGTGACATGATAGTTTTTAAAAGATATTAGATAGTACAGCTTTAAATTAGGTATCTGCCTAAATAATATATAGTCTAAAGTTAGAAGGTTTTCAGAAAACATCAGTGAATAAATTAAGGCTTTTGACATTAGACTGCATATAAAACACAGACATAACCTCCAAAACTGAAAAATGAAAACAACTTGTGCCCTAAACCTGCTTTCTTCCTCACAGCCAGCAGGAGGCGACTCAACTAATGTCAAACAGAAGTCTGACAGTAGAAATCTATGAGAAAATGACCCTACTTCTCCCTTAATTTACTGCCTTAATAAACCATTTTCAAATTAATTTCTGGTCTCAACCGATACTTTAAAGACTTTTTGAAAACAGTTGGAGTTCCTTTTGTAAATATGGCCCCCATAAGGGTAAAATAAACAGTAAAGCAGGGAATGTTTTAAAGTGGGGCAATCTTGTAATTGACAGCCTGCTACCATTTTGCTGTGCAAAGTGTCCTCAAGTTGTCAGTCCCATCTACTGCTCATTGTCTACTTTCAAATGCCCGAGGTGTTGATCACCAAAATCCAAACTTCCCAACAGTCCTCCACAAACCAGTGGGTGAAGCTATGATGGCTATATCCATCTTTTGTATAAAGTCTGGGCTTCTGATACTTTCTGCTTTGTTTGGTACATAATCCAAACATAACGTACACTATATCTTCTAATATTGTGTGGTTTTTTCCAGACTGACTGTATCACAACATTTACAAGTTCAGTAAATGTTGATTTTATGAGTTACATACTATATTAGACAAAGTGGAGAAGTAAAAGTGATTGCCAATCCTGCTTTTCCTACTTTTTCCCTCCTGGCTGTACTGCTGCTCCACTATCTACCGCTGAGGCTCTATCTTGATCTTTCTCTCCCCTTCTGACTCTCTCTCCGTCCACTCTAATGACAGTCAGCAGGACTGATAGGCAGATATATTTACACTGGTGGCAAGGGAGGAAGAAGTCATCAGCCAAACCCTGTCCTGCCTCCGGGCTGTGGCAGGCGGGGCTTGGAGGAAACCCTGGCCGGTTAGCCCCTCCCCGAGCAGGGCATATCATCTCTGTGCTGTCCCTGGCCCTGCTCAGAGCTCTCAGCTTAGATGGGACCAAAGCCTCATCGGGCCGCAGACTCAAACACTCCCACATCAGCTACTGAGGGAGAGCAGAGAGGAGGGAAGCAGCAGACAGAGTGGAAGAGTCCTGCTTTAGTGTTCACGCCGGCTTAGAGACGCAGCACAAGAGTGTGTGTTTTCGTTTTTCATGCTCTAGTCTTCCTCCAGAGCCGTTGATGAAGCAGGCTGGCTCAGCTCCATCTCATCTCAGTCTGGGGTCCAGAGGTGGCCGGCGGGGTCGAAGGGTGTACCGCTTCTCGTGTGTGCGTGACTTTATTTTGCAACTTTTGACCACTGGAACTGTACTGTAAGCATTATGACTCTTCTGGGCTCTGAACACTCCATACTGATACGAAGCAAGTTTAGATCAGGTAAGTCCACTGATGACTGATGTGCAACTCTCCTCTGCTATCTGTGTGTGTGTGTGTGTGTGTATGCACTCAGTTTATTAGCGAACACTTTCTGTGTACAGCTGTGTTTATTCTCCAAAGCCTTGCAAACAGTTTGTCTGCCAACGTTCGGCTTTTACAGGCAATCTCGTGTGCATTATGTCATTCATCTGTCTTCACGGATGAGCTGTGTTGACACTTACAATGTGCTCCTCAATAACACCAACCCAGTGACAGGTGTGTGTAATATACTGCTGGCATGTGATGGCACAAGGAATACCAGAGGGAGGCCAGGATAAGTCAGAAATCCTCCCACGTACCGAGCCTAACAACGCACCGTGTCAGAGTGTGATGGATTTACAGCTGGGTGTGTACTTTGATGTTTGTCCGCCTCCTCGTAAATGCACGACATGTGAGGGTGATGTCTCGGGCAGGTTAGTGCACTTGTTCCGTGCCAGCATCTGAACCTGCTGCTGCTGCTGCTAAAGGGAAGCGAGCCAGGCTTTCTCTGTGGCTCTGATAAAGGGAGATTAGACACTGGACAGGGGTCAGAGGTTATCTAAATATGGCTGCATTGGAAGCTGAGGATGCATGTGTGTACGTACCTGAGCATATCAAAGAGGGAGGGAGGGTTCAGACTACAGCGCTGATTTAAACTCCCTTTAATTCACATCAGATGTTGGGGCTTTGTATCCATCTGTCTCCTTAATGTACACACTCTTTAATTCCATCACTTTCTCATTCATACACACACTCTGAGAGCCGTGTTTTAAAGATACACCGTGTGAGCCTGAGCATGTGTGTGTTTGCACTGTACCACTGCAGGGTGTGTGTAGTCTGACCAACACTGCCACCTCCCTGAGGAAAATGTAACTGATGGCGGCAACAACAGCAACTCAGCTGCTGTGAAGCTTGATATACACGAGGGCCTCAGTAAACAGCAGCTCACACCGCTGTGAACGAACAAACCGGCGGCCACAGCGGCTCCGGTTCTCACTTCCAGTTTGCCTGTGAGCTGTAATTGCGTTCCAGAAATGGCAGGCTAAATGATGCTTTTCCTTTGAGTTGTTTAGAGCACATCAGCGGGGTGGGAAATGACCCCTGGTGCTCCAGGGAACATGGGAGGGTGGATTTGCTGCACTCAAAAAGCAGCAGCGGGCTTTAACGGAGGTGGCTCAGGGTCTATGTTGGTCTAACCCTCGTGCTTTGGTTGGCTAATATGGCACAGATGTAGAAATGTGACCTTTACAGTATAGTAAAGTCTGCTTGATGTTACAGTCGGAGGGATTACTGCCAGGTGATACAAGTTACAACCAACATGACTGCTTGATCTAATTTATGAGCGCATGAGTGAAATATTGTGCGCAAGCGAGACAAAATTGACCGTAAATCTCTGCGTGATAACCGCCGATGACAGGGGGAGTCACGGATGATCCGGCCGTCCAGGATTTACAGTTTTCTTTAAACTGCAGCGGCTTGAGTTACATCCAGCGCCCTGTGAAAACTGCCGATAGTCGCCTCTTTTACACCATGCTTGAGCTACATTATCAAAGCCATGGGAACTGCTGCTGCTGCTGCATGGTTGAAGCTAAAAGGAAAGATAAAGATCTCATTTAAGTGCTCCCCGCGGACCGCAGAATGTTTTGTGAGTGTGTTGCTGACCAGTTCTCATGCCGTTTTGATTAACAGCTCAAACGGCTTGCGGCCCGTGCTCTTAAGCTCGCTGCCATTACGTAACAGTATGACAGAAGCGTCAAATATAAGTTGGGACGAAGCCACAAAGTGCCAACCGCATGTTGAACAGCAAATCACCAGACACCTGTTTGTATAAGTAACCACACCCAATCCAGTGAGGACACAATGATGATGCACGATGTCATCGGAGTTACTAATAATTGAATAGAAAATAATCAAATAAATGTTTCTTTTACAATTGTTTCACTGAGAATCAACTTTTCTGTATCATCTTGTCACACCCTAGTGAGGCAGCAGAGACAACAAAAATGAACAACACAATCACTCACTCACTCAGCATACTTTACTAGAAAACTGAATGAATTAGAATCACTGATATTCGTTCAAATTTCATCTTTTCATAAACCTCAGCTGGCATTTAGAATCCGGTGCTTGTCATATTAGGCGAACCTTTAATAGATAAAAAAGCTTTTGAACCCAAAACCAAAGTACTGACAGGTTCTACATCCCTGGTAATAATTCTGACAAAGCTGCTAATAACTCATAATAGAAGAGATTAACCCAAGACGCCCATCGCTGAAAATGAACGGCACTCTGGCAACACATAAAAAAGCACAGATTTTTTTGTATTCGAGTGAGGTTTTTTTTTCCATCTTCTACACAAATCTACACCACCCTGCTATCCCACTGTTGACTATAAGTCAGTGGCGATGGAGCGGCTCCAGGAACTGTACCCTAATGGTGGAGTGTTGGCTCTCCTGCAACACAGGCTCTGGCTCGCATTCACAAATTTGACTCTAACTGTCCAAGAGCATAAGAATAAAATATGCGCGTTCTGTTTCAAGGTGGATTTTCGCTTTACGCTGAGGTATTAGACTAAAATAAACCTAATACTTCATTCAGGAATACCTGTTTATTAGAAGTTATACAGTTGTGATCATACATCTGTCGCAAACACATTCCTGTTTGCACTGAGAGAGAGTTCAGGAGAATTCATTTCGCAGATGCAACCGGTCTCTTTCGCTAAGTTTTTAGGTGTAAAAGTGTAGTGTTATTATTAGCCTGTTTCTTTCTCATGTGGTGGCTGTGAATGTGTGAGGCGCAGGAGGACAATAAATCAGAGTATCACTCCGCCGGCTTGTGTAATTATCACCACTTCACCAGTGCAAGCAAGGCCGAATGATAATTTATTTACACTATAAATCTGAAAACTTGTAAATGTGGCTGTGGATTTGTATGTCCTTTGTTGTCAAGAAAGCCCAAGTTGAAACAAATGTCTTCAGTTTCAAAGTCAACAGAGAGAGAGGCAGAGTACGGTTCAGTGATCTGTGATTACACAGCCTGGCTCTGCTCCGCTTTCTATAACATGAACGCACTGCAATCAGGACAGGCAACCCTTTGGTCTGAGCAAAGCTTTTTTGGGGAGAAAGAGCAGATTATATGGCAACTGCTGTGCTTTTTCAGGCAGAATTATTGATAACCTGTCAGTAAACATAATACACAGCAGTTACATTTGATTTTACACCTGGCCGTTTCCAAGAAAATAAGAGACAAAACCTGCGTGTCTGGATAAGATTAAGGCTGTTAGCCCGCTGTCACGTTAGCTTGTCGCATTAAGTTTGCTAGTCGCACGAAAACCCAACCAAGAAATGCCAGTTTGACAACAAAGGTTTTGGCTTTGAATTAAAAGGCATGAATGATGTGTTTAATCCTAACAGTTAACATGTTTAATCTGCGTGTTTGGATTAATGATAACCCTTTAGTCAATAACGCAAAGCAGTGAGGAGCTAAAATCCAAGTTACGCTGCAAAATAAGCTAACCTAAAATTATGGGTGTCAGCGAACTTAAAACACAGCACCTTCTGATAACTTGATTTTCTGAGATAAAAAAATCAATTATAAGACAATTACATGTAGAACTGTTGCTTTCCTGTTAAATAAACAGAAACCAGAGCAACAAGAAGCTAAAATCAAAGTCGCTCTGAAAACTTAGCGAATGGCTAACTTTAATTTTAGTCACAAAAGAGACTAAACCAGCGTGTATGGATATGATTGACACCCTTACAGTAATGTTAGCTTGTCAAATTAGCTTGTTAGCAGCACCACTCCTACAACCTAATCTAGGATTTATGTTTGTACATTGAAATTAATCAGAATTTGAATTATGTTACATCATCACATTAGCTTGGTGGTTGCAAATTTAACAGAAAAATGTTTTTAATGTAGTTTAAGATTAGGCTACATGGGTTGTAATACAATTAAATGAAAAAATTATGTGTATGTAAGTGTTGGCTCTGTTAACCTAGGCTTAATCAAACTGTTTCAGGAAAAAATTCTACGAACTGAGGACTGTGGAAGCCTTGTGGTTGAGAAGTGAAACATCTTCAAGAACCACCTCAAACAAATGCCTTCTACTGTAACATTTAGAGTCAATTACATGGCTGCTATTTTTCATAGAATCATTAATAATCTTTTTAAGTGAGCAGCAAGCAGGCGTCCATTAAGATGAAAGAAGCTTCACAGAATCATCTGACACTAACAGTTATTGCACTTGTCACCCAAACTCACCAAAGTCACCAAAAAAAAGACTTGCCTTGACAGAGGTTATATCAGTTACACGCTTTGGTCAACTTCCAGTCAGGAACTAATGGCTGCATTTGCTCCGTGTGATGTTGCGACCAGCGGGTCACAACCTCCTCATCCCTCACTGTAAACTAAAGCAGATGTCAGATGAAGCCAAGGGCCTGGCGTTACATAATGGAGGTGATCTCCTGTGAGAGACCTGTGATGTGGCGCCCGAGTTCGCTGACATCCAGTTAAGAAAGTTGTTAGATTGCGTCAAAGCTGGAAGCTTTGAGGAAATTCGCAAAACGCTTGATCGTAGCCAGAGCTGTGCGAGTACAAAAACCACCTGAGCAAGATAATTAAGAATAGGGCAGACAAGCAAGAAAGTGATTAGAGCCCTACAGGAAAGGAGGAACATTTCATACTCGTGTGTCAGATCCAGGATCTGACGGAGACCCTCAGATAAGCGGCGGGGAGGAGAAGCACACACAGACAAAGAAAGAAAAAGAAAGCAAAAGAGTCACAGACGCGAGCAGAGCAACAGACATGGAGGAGGCTCTGTGTTTATGACCTACCTAGACCACTTGTGCACACACACAGAGCGAGGACGAAGCGTGTGCACGAGCTGCAGACCACACACTGCTGCACAGATCTGTTTAAAAGCCAGGAGCTGTGTTTATCATTCCCTACATCCTGCTCACAGAAATATTTGTGAGCAAGCAGCGTTGTTTTCTGTGTGTGTGTGTGTGTGTGTGTGCTTTCTGTATGTAGATACATACATATATGTGCATGTGCGCCTTGGATCAGATTGACATAAGTAGCGTTTTTAGGTAAAGTAAAACTATTCTAAAGCGAACTACAAGTTAGATTAATGAAGCAGCATGTAAAGCTGGTTGAATTCTCAGTCTCCTCCTGCTTTTTCTCCTGTCCCTCACCTGTCTCTCCACTTTTCTTCCTCATCTTTTCCCCTTTTCCTTTGCTCTTCTCCTCTATCTGCCCTCCTCCTCCTCCTCCTCCCCTCAGTCCTACAGTTAAGACTTCAGCAGAGGAGGACACGAGAGCAGCTGGCAGACCAAGGCATCATGCCTCGTGAGTAACGCCTTCCAGCACCGAGTTCCCGCACATGCCGACACACACACCTCCACTTACATGCTTTTAGACTTGCAGTGTGACTCAGGCAGACGGAGGGGAGACGAGTGAGAAAGTCAAGCAAGAGGACATGTCAAACGTTTAAGCACACAGCAAAGGTGGTATCTGGTGATTCAGAAAATGTAGGCTGTATCTGTCCAGGTATCTGCTTCCAACGAGTTTTGTTTATGCTTCTTTATCTTTCTTTATCTGTGAAAAGTAACCCCACTTTTTAGCTGTGCGTGCTTCATGGTTCAATAAAGGGATTGGAAACTGGAATTCTAAAAAGAAATATATATTTTTTTCATTTCAGTGGGACAGCAAGAAGAAATGTTAATTTAGGGGCACTAACACATAAATGACATGAGATTGTGCATAGTGGCCTATAGACATTGATGTGGAATAGCTTTTTTCTTTTGGTTTGTTAGTTTTCTACCACCCGGGGGCAGCAGAACAGTCAGAGCAGTTTTTGTGTTAACATAGTCCAACAAAACATCTTAAATATTACTTAGAATAGGATTTTTTTTAAAGTCATCTCAAAAGGAAAAACTTACAAATTAACACATTATTTGGGTAACTGTGTAAACTATCGGTCTTGTGATTATTTATTTTTTGTCCTTTTGGTTTACAGTTCACTCGTTACTCGTCACTAGTTACGCTGCATCTCTTTCAGTTCTGACACAAACCTCTTCCGACTTTGCTTCTCTCCTGCTCGCTGTGCTCTTTGTATTTTAATGCAGCTGAATTCCCAATAAAGCTGTTTTCATTCACATTTTCTTTCTGTTTCTGTTGTCAATGGAATGAGTCTAAAATAGTGACTAAAATGCCGCCCGCCCTTCAAGGCTGCTGCTGCTGCTAAACTCTTGAATTTACAACATCACATGACAAATCAGGGCTGTATTATGATTTCAGTTGCATTTACATGTAAAGTGAAAGCTAGTGACAGCACGTCCTCCATCTAGTTAAAATAGAACAGAGTCATCACTCAAAAAAACCATCCGCCAATCAGGGCACACCCCTATAAAAAGACCTGTAAATGTGTGAGGTGTGTATCAGAATTGCAAACAAACGTCAGACTCCGGGGGAAGTGCAAACCAGAGGAGGAGCACAATTATGTACAAAGGAAATATTTGCAAGTTAGAAGTTTCACTTTTGTAAAGAGATTTTTTAGTGACTTCTATAAGTCAGATTCAAAAAGTGTTGTTTTATATGAGGTTGGCAGAAATCTGACTCCGTCCAATGTTGATATGAACATTTTTTAGCAACAAATGTGCTATTTTACATCAACAAAAATAAAGCCAGCAGCCAATCTTCAGTTAGCTTTCTTTATCTTTCCATCAACTCCCGAGAAAAACAGCTCTTCTCTGTAGCTGCTATATAGCTGCTAGAACACAGTTTTATTAATGATAATAGAAAGACTGAGTTTCCAAGTAGTTTCACTCAGTTTGTTGTGAAGACGAGCTACATGGATGTGGATCAGCCCAGTGCGGGAAATATGAGCAGTTACTGCATTTTTTTAAAACCTGCCCTTTAATTGTAGGTCCCCTTGGCTCAATCAGTATTATTTTGAAAATCTTGGAATCCGGTTGTGAGAAGCACCATCTCTGAGTTTCACATATATCAAATTATTGAGTCTGACATATTGCATGACATGTAGGAAGAAAAGGAGGAGCATAGCTGTGGTTGTCTATTGCAGATTTGACATTCAACTAGATGCCAGCTGTTGTTCTAAAGAGACAGAAAGCCGTCAGCAGATCCTTTTGCTCGACTGCCAGTTTGTACCGTTTTACATATCATTGGATGTAACGGATGCTCTGCCTCTGCTGTGAAATCGTGCAACTTGAGTCCCAATGCTGAGTTCAGAAACTTGTGAACAAAATACTTCCTTTGCAGAAGAAAGGCAGACAGAGACAGACAGGGAAGAAGATGCTGAAAAGAGATCAGACTGGAGAGGATAAATCTACATATAGTGACAGATATAAATGTGGACGTGGAGAAAGCAGGTGGATGTATGTATGTGAGCTAATGAGAGAGACAGGCAGCAGCCAGCGAGCACGCCGACCAGTCGGTGAGTGACCGCAGAGGAATGCTCTTGTACTGGAAGAGGCTCTCAGCTTTAGAAGAAACAGCAACTGCCAGATCCACAGAGACTGTACCTGTTTACAGCACAGCGCCTGCAGAGCGCCGCATCAAAGCAGAGGCACGCCCAAACTGGACAACATGGAGCTGCCATTTATAAGACAGAGACTTTGTAGTTTGAATGTCACATCATTCACAGTGATGAGAACACATAGACCTGAGTGCTCCGAGCGCTCTCCTAAATCCTCACCGCCGCTGCGATTAATAGCCTTTCATGCTCCGCGGGTCGGGATAGCGCTGTAATGTTTGTGGTGATTTTGTTTAGCTTCGACTGCCAACACACAGCACATGAGAAATAAATTTTCAATATTCATGAGAAAGCGGCGAGTTCAGCGGAGACATTGCGCAGCAGACGGCCACTTATAAACGTAGATTTTATCTATTCTTGTTTCTTTAAAGCAGCGCTGTGTCATCTTAGTGAACATGGGAGCGCTGAGCAATGCCAGCGTAGCGTGTTTTTTTTTTTTTTTTTCCGGTTCCTCGCCTGCAGGAACAACAAGGGGACTGGGGGACTTGGACTGCAGGCCAGGGATTTGTTGAATGATATCTCTGGCACCGTTTGCCATTTCACAGAGGCTCCAGCCGCCAGATAAACCGCTGGTAAGTGTGCAGGGGAACGGAATCCAGAGGCCCGGAGAGGCCCTATCAGTTTCTAGGAGTCTGTCACAGATAAGGCAAGCAAGGAGAAACGCAATTGGCCAGCGGGGGCTCCAAGCGCTCTTTTAAAAAAGAAATTTCAATTGGTTGTTTATCTCCTGATTGCAGGCGGTGGCGCAGATGTAAAAGAGGTTGCAGGGACTTGTGTTTGTGCCGTTTGTTAGTACTTTCCTTACACCCACACACTGGATGTTCTTATCACTCCTCAAAAAACATCATCTGCCCTCCAGGGATTTTATGTCCCTTCACCAAAAAATAAGACATTTCTGAGGGTGACGCAGCATCGTCCTCCCCGTGCTGCTGTGGAGTGATTCTTGAAATGCTGGCTGGCTCTGCTGGCTCTGTTATTCCTGCTGGGGAGATGGACACGGCACAGGGTCTGTGTATATATTACCCAGGGAACATCTGGTGTTTATTAGGCTATTCAAGAATCCGCCCCAGCCTCTCAGGCCTGACTGGCGTGTGGCCTGCATAGGAGCACACTGTCTGCCTGCTGGCCACAGGTCTGCCTCGACACACACATACAATCTAATATTTCCTCATAAAGATAATAGGGCTGGAGCTGCAGGTTTACTGTGCTTTTTGCTGCTTGCATTAAAACGTTCATTTCCACGGCAGCGGCACTTTAACCCTCGGCGGATGGAAACACAAAGGGGATTAATGCACCATACGTCTTTGCCTCTTTGCGTAGTGTTTACACTCCACAGATACGGTCAGCGGGGATATGTAGTACAATAGGTTTAAAATGACTTGTATGTTTTAGTACCGCTGCAGAATGTTTAAAAGTCTGATTCACACTCACCAGATCGTGTTACACTCTGCAGTTGGGTTCCAGAGTTTATGCTCGCTTAGAGCTCTTTGCATCGCTGTGATGCTGACCGGAGGCCGAGTCCTGAACAGCTGATGATGCCAAAGTGACCGCGACTGGCAGCTGATGCTCCCTCATCTCCCCTCTGAGGAAGTCCACTGGATACGAGCTGTTTTACACACCTCCCTCCATCTGTGTGGGCCGCACTACCGCCTTCATCTCATCCCTACTTCCCCTCCGTTATTGCCTTTTCTTCCTGGGCGTCTTCCATTCCTCCTTGTTTTGTTTCATGCTTTACTTCATCTTTTACCTCAAGTTTTATCCATATAAAATTCTTTTCTTTCTTATACAGCCTCTCCTCCTCCATCCATATTCTTGTGTCCTCTGTCATTCTAACTTTCAATCTTTCTTCCCCTCTTCTGTCCATCTGTTTTTGACTTTCTTGCTTTATTTTTCTTGCTTTCTTGGTAATTTTCTTTATTTTTTTTCTTTCATTTATTCCCCCATCTTTGATTATTTTTCTTCTTTGCATGTGTTGTTTTTAATTTTCCATTTTTTGTATTATTTCTTTCCTACAACTTTTTTTTACGTCTTTTTTGTTGTAATTCATAGTTTTCTTCTTTATTTCTTCCATCCAGTTCAGTTCAATTCAATTCAATTCAATTCAATTCAGTTCAATTCAATTCAGTTCAATTTTATTTTATTTATAAAGTGCAGTTCACAACATATGTCATCTCACAGCGCTCAACATAGCAATACCTTACGAATTTGAACAGTGAACCCAACAATCCAAAGTTGCCTTTTGACTCCACTTGAGCAAGTAACGGTGGGAAGGAACCAAAAAGAACTTCAAAAAATCAGACACAACCAGGTTCAGGGAAGGCAGCCATCTTCCATTGACTGATCGGGGTGGAAAAGGGGGATCCGTTTCCAGTCTATATGTATAATCTATAGATACTCTTTTCCCAGCATGCACCACAAACAAATTCAAACTAACTAATATGGATAATGTTCAATTTACAAATTTCAAAAAGAGGCAATCTTTGTCAATCTCTTCCTTTATTCCATCGTTTAACCTGTTCTTTCTTTTTCTTTCTTTCTTTCTTTCTTTCTTTCTTTCTTTCTTTCTTTCTTTCTTTCTTTCTTTCTTTCTTTCTTTCTCTTACCTCAACTTCTTCCTTTGCTTTTCCTTAATTCCTCCTCTCCCCATTTCAACATTGCTCCTTCTTTCCATCTCTACCTTCTTCCATACATTCACCCTCCTTCCGTTACTTCTCCCTCCTTCTTTGACATCTTCTGAGTTTCACAGAAAATGATACATGTCTAATTTGAGACCTTAAGCAAAATATTTGCTTTATCTGAAGTTTATAAAGGCCTAATATAGCGCATTAATCTTAACTTAATTTCAATAAAAAACTCTTTTTTTTTTTTAAAGTTTCTTGTGAAGCATTACATTTCAGATCCGTTTTTCATCAGACAGTAATACTCTCCCTAAGTTGTCCAGCACAAAGCTCAATATCATTCATTTCTTTCTGGCACCGAATCCCATGTCATCCCTCAGAAATATCCCACCAGAATTATATTTGACCAAATAAGTGCTGTTGCTCTTTCTTGCTCTCAGATAATCAAACTGATCTGGTGTGCTCTCCTCACTGCCGGATAATCAGTCCTGTGAGTGTCGTGGATAGAGTGAAGGCCAGGCCAGGTTAGCTCCGGCCCTGATTATTTATCCTGGATTTAACAGAGAGAGATTGTGGAAGGTCAAAAATCTTACCCGCTGCAGCCCTTTAATTACAGCCTCTCCATTTATTTTTCTAGTACTCAAAGTGTCTGGCTGTACCGGGAGCCGAGCAGCTGAACAGATATTAGAACTGATCCAAAACAGAAATATTGATTATTGAAGGATGAAGGAAGCTGTGAGTGGAGAGTTTGCTGCGTAAACGACTGCTGAATGCAGTGCTGTGTAGATTAATAATAATAGGAGGATGAAAAAAAATGAGATAGGATGGAAGAACAACTAAAATAAACTTGATTTTACTATGAAATTTGGCTATTAGAGGGGAAAATTGCATATGGAATATACAATGCAACAGGAAGAAAACCACTATTGCAGCATGTTCCAATAAAATATTCATGAAGCCTTTGTGTTTAGATGATCAGAAAATAGAGCATACTTAGCACTGATGGAGGATATTGACAAAATATGTGCTAAATATGGGTATTTATGGTATATTTACATGTATAAAATGCACTTTTCATTGTATCACTGATGGCCGAACCACTGACATTCTTCACCTTGGAACACAACTGTGTAATACAATGTTCAAAATGTAACTTTAGTTCTTAAATTATCTTCGACAAAATGTTCTGAAAGTGTGAAGAGATGTCACTGTATGTAAGTTAAATTGCATTTCAAATGTGGGGAGGAAATTAGTTATTAGATTTGTAGCCATTTGTTTACATTTTAAGTTGTGTACCAACCTTTAAACTCTAAGTTGTGTTTTAGATGAGGCAGGGAAACCACTGAGGATTAAAGCCTAGGTTAAGATCTTTCAGCTGGTTCTTTGGATGTGCTGTCAAATGCCTTTATAGTCCTTTGGAACAAACAGAGTGAAATGCTGACCATCATAGAGAGAGTTCATTTTAAAATGGCAAAAAATGGTGCACCTTTGCAAGGAGACATTGATAGAGACATTGTGTTTACTTCCACACATGAAAAGTGTCAAAGTGAATTGAAAAAGAAAGAAATGGATACTGGATTGCCTCATTTATTCGAAGGAAGGTTGTTCAGTGACACCTATTCTACAAAAAGTCTCAAGCTTCCTCCACCATGCTCATTAGCACCCATGTCATTCGATTACATAGAGAGAACATGTGCGACCGAGATTCCCTCTGGCCTGTGGTTGGCTGACATCCTGCTGGCTCCGAGCTCATCTTGTCTAGACTTTTCCTAATGTTACTGGACCAAAGTGATCAAATTCTGATAATAGGAGTCATTTTACTTATTTGTAAGGTCCTGGAAAATGTATTTGCCGTTTTAGAGCCGTTCTGTTTCGACTACTTATGTGTGTGAAAATGAAACTAGAAAGGTGCAGTAATGTGTCTTGGCTACAACGCCAGACATGCAGCTGAGAGAGACCATAAATGCAGCACAACGCTACAGTCAGATCAAGTCTTGCCTGCCAAGATGAACTTTTGCTGAGGCAAAAATAACAGGTAGGATGAGGGGAAAAAGCGTAGAGGAGTTAAAGAGAAGTGGTCAACATGTGGTTTGTTTTAGAAGGAATTTAAGCAAATCGCATTATTTTGGACTTAAATGAAAATGACATCTGTCGCTGTTTGGATGTCACTAGATCATAATGTTGTAGATTCTTAATGATCCACAGAGATCCCCACCAGTGGTTTGGTGTGTATGTGAACTGTGGATTGATTGAAATCAGTGAAAAGGGTGACCTAAAAGGGCCTCCACTCGCTAAAATAAGTCCTCCACTAATGCCCTATCTCACAACGGGTGATCCATTCCTGGCAGCTTTTGCATAAGCCTGTTTGCAGACATAGACACTGTACCTCTGCCTGAGTGAGGAATAAAAGAAGAATTCTCTAAATCTCAATACAGAGCTGCAGGAACACAAAGCAGTTGGGTGTTCACATGAACAGGGCATGCTGGAAGCAAACGACAGCCATAGCCCTCTCCGTTTCCTTTCTTTTCCTTGCTGAAATGAAAAAAGACTCAAAAGCTGTGATGCAGTCTGAACTGAGAGTTTTGTGAGTCGCTACACCCCTGCTGGATGATCATTGCAGATGCAGAAATGTGTACGCCACATTTAGTTGCTGTATCTGGTTGAGGTGGAGCTAATTGTGTATCATTTGTGTGGGAGTTCAATGTACTGTAGATTGATGCATTATATTTTATCATTTCAAAATCTACAAAATAACTACATCTTTCAGATAAATATGTACCATAAATTCCAAACAAGCTGAAGTATAAAAAGCGTGAACGTTGTACTTACAGTAAGTCTCCTCTGCTGCAGTACATTGAGATGTGTTAAACAGTGTCTCCCTGGTGTGTCCCGTGTTGTTGACGTTGTGGTCCTGCTCTGTGTTATCCAGACCCGGCCTTAGACGGCTCCTCTCTGGAGACCCAGATGAGGCTAAAGCGAGCCCGGCTCGCCGAGGACCTGAATGAGAAGCTGGCTCTCAGGCCGGGGCCCCTGGAGCTGGTCCAAAAGAATATCATTCCCCTAGACTCTGCCGTCACAATGAAAGGTATCAACAGAGGCTGCCGTGTGGAGCAGCACACCTTTAACACCTCCACCATCCCAGCCTGTGTGACTCCATGTTTGTGTGTTTGGCAGCAGAGTTAAAGTAAAGAGAGCCCTCCTAACTGACTGCGTGTGCTTGTGTGTGTTTCATTAACTAAGAAGCACAAAGCGTTGTTCTGGAGATTTTAATCTCCTCAAACAAGCATTGCTCTTTAATGACTCCACTGCTGGACTTAAACACAGTTACCTCATTTTGTCAAACAAGCACCAACTAAAAGTAGACAGTTTACCGTAGCTCTTACATGAACATTATGTTCCTCCAACACAAAGCCTCACTGACAGTATTCCAATTTGCCTGTTGGAAAAGGTCAGTGCAGGTAAATGCCTTTCAAGCAAAACTTTTTTTTTCTCTGTTACACAGAAGAGTCATGAGCAGCAATCAGTTCATCAGTTCTGTTTAAAGGGCAGAATCTCCATGCTGAACAATCCTGGTTACAGTTGATTTATGGAAAATATTGTAATTTGAAGTCAAGCTTCAGTTTTGATTCACTGTGTAACAGCTTCAAAACATGTGATGGAGTGTTACTACATGAGGCAACATGACTGTCACACAATAAGAACGGCATGAATGTATGCTAAATTGTAATTTGTCAGTTCAATTCAATTTAGTTCAGTTTTATTTATATAGCATGAATTCACAACACGCGTCATCTCACAGCGCCTAACATAGTAAGGTACAGACCTTACGCATTTTGAACAGAGAACCCAGCAATCCAAAGTTGTCTTTGGATTCCATATGAGCAAGCTGTCGGCAGACGGTGGGAAGGAACCAATAATTTCATAATACCCCAAAATCCAAGAGAGCCCACACGCAGGTCAAAATTAGTACACGAACCTACAAGGGCAATAGTGTGTATGGAACACATAGACACGATCCACTGCACATGTATGCAACAAAGTCTTACAAGCAGACTGCCTCGGACCACAACAGTAGTGTAAGAGCAACAACCATGCATTCGTGGGTGTCAGGACTATTTTTCTTTTTACTTGTGGCTCTTTTACAGCTAATGAGCTGTTTACTACAGCTCTATACAGCAGTTATGAGCCATTAATAAGACAAATGTTTTGGTTGATTGGAGCAAATTCCATAAGAACTGATATTTTCATCTGCAGATCTGATGAACTGAAAACTTTGTATTAGAATTCATTAAGCCTTCCCACTGCAGAAACCCATGAGTCCTATCATCATATATGAAGGATGATTGACTTGTCATTTGTCATGAATATCCTCTGTTGTAAAGTTTGAACAACTGGCTTTGAGGAAAAATGATTCACATGCTGGTAATTGAAGAGTTGACCCTTTGGCCTCTCCACCTTCACATCAAAGTACCTGCTTCCTGTCCGTAACATCATCCAAATCTCTTGCAGGGAGAAGTATTTGTTTGTACTTGTAGCACAAAAAATTTTATTTACATTTTTAGTAATCCTGCTTATTACCGAAATTTCTTTTGAGACCGGTGTGGATCTCCAAAAAATGTTAATGTTAGGCAATTTTCATCAAAAAGAGATGCTTTGCCATCAGTATTTATACGTGTATATTCTGGACTCAAGTGTTTGGGGAGCCCTCTTGAGATGTCCACCTCCTCCTGGGTTTGATTTAAGGAAATGCACAGCATATATGCTTTGACAGAGCGATGATGTAGTGTTGTGCGGCGAGTCGGGCCCGAGTCGTCCCACTGTGCCGCTCTGACCGCACGCTGTTTGTCTTCTAACCCCGCCGACATGTTACTCACTCTCTCTGTATCACTCTTGGCAGTGTAAGTAGTGTTCTTTAGACTCTGGTGTTTTAGCGGTTTTATGTTTGCCCCCTTGAGCCTCCAGTAAACATGTTGCGTAAAGGACTGCAGTCAGCTGGTTTACACTACCTCTGCAGGAGGAGGGAGCTGCGTTTATTGAGATGAACAGCAGCTGTATTTGGATCCACCCTTTTTCTTTAGAAGTGCACAACATGTGTATCCCTGTGTAGTGTATGTGTGGGTGTACCTGTGTGTATGTTTGTACCTTCCCTCTCCTCCCCTCTTTTGTGTCTGCTTTGACTGGCTCCACTGAGCCACCTACAAAGTCGTGTGACAGAACCAGGCTGTTGCGTTCCCCCTCGCTTGCAGCATTAACCCCTCACCTTAAAGCTCTAGATCTCCTTACACAACACTCCCAGCGCTCGTTCCAACCACTGTCCAGTCAGTTTGGAAAGTGCGCGACCTGCCATAACTTTGAAACCAGCCACTTGAAAAGCGGAAATGTACGCAGGCATGCAGATTTCCTGTAGTTCTGCCAACTCAATCTCCCGATGACATCAAATTATCTCAAAGATTCACGGAAACAGGAGTGCGTGCAGCAGAGGGCGAATACACCGAGACGAGCAGATTCACACATGCTGCTGTGTGTGACTGCACAGAGTTAAACATGAACAGGTGGGAGGAAATGACATTTAGGACAATGCTGTGTACTAAGTTGAGTGTTAAGCTGTGTGTGTGTCAGTGTGTGTCTGTGTGTTTGTGTGTATTGCAAGGTTATTGAGTTGCACAGAATGGGCCTGGTACTGTGATTGAAACCAGGGTCTGTTCTGGGCTGTCACATGTTTGGATACAAAAAGAGAATCTTATACCACTGCACACACACACACACCAACCTTTACCACCTCCCTCCTCTACCTCCGTCCCTTCAGCTCCGTTAGATAGCTGCTCTTAGCTGCTCCAATCAAAGCCTTGTTCCCTATCAGTCCAGCCAATCAGAAACGTGGCGGAGGTAAAGTGGTCGTGTCGGTGTCTCACCCGCACAGCGTAACACCTCCGAGCTGAGTGTCTCACTAGGTGTCAGTGACAGACAGGCAGCGTGTGAATACTTGAGATCGCATACATTGTGTGATATGCATCCAGTCAGCTCATAAACCAACCCTTACAAACACACACTGCTATATATATATGTATGTATATATATATATGTACATTTAAAAGCAAAGGATAACTCGTGTCTATTGAATGTTAGCAGGACATGATTAACCCACGAGGAAGCCCCGACCTTTTTTCCTAAAATGCATCATGTAGGCACAATATCAGGTGAATTCAAAGACTTTAAAACAGGTTTTTAATTTAGAAAGACGACTGTAACTGCTGCCTAAGGACCCTGACACTATAACTACCTTAATATTCCTTCACCAGAGTTTTGGAAACCATACTACAACTTGGACACCATATTGTTGCTGAAACATCTTCAGAACAACTTTTTTAATATGATACTTCTGAGACAGTCATTTGAAATACAGTTTCCAAACAGCTGCTGATTTTCAAAGGACCTCTGGAAGGACTCATCCATTTAAGCATAAGACACATAGCTGCCATCCTAATTCAATGAGACAAACGTGACCTTCAGCCTTTCTAACAACACACTAGTGGGAGGTTAGGACGTTCGATTTAAGCAGTCACCTTTAGGCAGCTATCATTTCAGTTCATAATGTGCTCTAGTGGTCCATAAAATACAAAGAAGCAAACCTGTAATTAATAAATTATCATAAACTAACTGTGGCTGGTACCTCATTGGCCCCTGAAGGCCTGGGGGCCTTGCTGCTGCTTGATAATCAAGCTGTGAACTTGGGTCTCACTTTTGTACTTGTAGCCCTCAAGGTTATACATGTTCACCAGGGTAGCCAAACTTATTTGGAAGACAAGGCAAAAGAGAATCAAATGTTTAAATTCTTAGTCAGCTGCCATCACAGGTTACAGACAGACCTTTGTGGTTCAGGCACTTTGTTCCTGTCCAGTGAAGAATTATTAGAGACTTTGTGAGTTCATTTTTGATTCCAGATTAAGTGGTTTATCATCTGTTTCTTTTTCCAGTTGACTGTTTTTTTTTTAGCAAATTCAGATGGTACATGACCTCACAACACCAAACGGCTAAAACACATTGTAACCAACTGGACTTATCATAAAAAAGCATGCTTTACTATCAGTCCTCCTTGTCTCAGCTTCGTCTGGTGCCACATTTACACCAGGTGTTATCATGTGATCTGTATCTGGATGTGCTTTCTGGACACTGACTGTATCTGCATTTAAACCAGGCATTAGAGCATGTTCCCGGTATCCTGATCGTGTCCCTTATTTGATTTGATTTGATCTCAGCATGCTGGTAGTTACACGGTTACACCCCTCGTCAAAGAAGCAATGCTGCTAACCATAATGACATTTCCTGAGGCTTTTGTCTGGAGTTAGGTGACCTTTCAGTTTGCTTGTATTTATGTGTTCGCGCTGCACAGAATCATAAACATCTGCTAAGATGTGATCCCAAATGGGCCCTCATCACATCCAAATGTGCTCCGACTGATCCAGTCTCATTGCATTCAGTGTACATTTACACCTTTGACTGACATACATCCTCTGTTATCCAGATGTGTCACCTGGACACAGATGCCTGTTAATACCAGGTTGCACCTTGCTGATGCCCCCACCCGCCTCTCCTTTTGTTCTTCTTACAGTAAACCATGGCAAGTTCCCCAAGCAAGAGGACTCTTATGCGTTTGAGGAGGACAGCAGCAGTGAGAGTCTGTCTCCAGAGCAGCACCACAGTGATGAGTCGCAGGGCTCGGCCTGCCCTTCGTCTGAGGCTGTCGGCAGCACGGCCTCCTCCTCCTCCTCACCTGCCCTCACCAGCCCACGTCAGGTAAAAATAACACTCACAACCCTTCTCTGTTCCCTCCATCTGTCTTTTACTCTGAATTTGCCGCCTCCAACGGTTGTTGCCACTGCTTTGCTTCTCCTGCCCCCCTGTGGTAGCAGAACATACTGCACCCTCCCCTGGTATCCGCTGACCGTTGGACCCAGTTGAACTAGGCAGGTGTCACATTCCTGCAGGCTGAGCGTCCTGCAGGCACAGCTGCCTTTATATCCTCACTGCTTACCGTTCGCTCACGATGACCCCATTCCATCGGTCCCCATCAGTAACGGTCACTTGATTGAAATTCATGCCAGAACGCGGTTGTTTATATCTCTTAGACTTGTACCTCTTAAATGTTCCAACTGAATCATCAGCTCTCTCTGCATCGTGTCAGTCTGAAAGGTCTGTTTAGAGTTTTCTGGAATACTTTTGCAGAGGAAACATCAATACATGTGCATTTTTGGGGATAATGAATCCATTTGAATTACAAACTCACTCTCCCTGCCTGCTTCAGGTGAAGAAAACACATACAGTCAGTGACATTCATTAAGGCAAAAATTGCACACAAAAAAAAAAAAAAACCCTGCCAGAGTCAAAAATAATATTGAAGTAAATAAAATGATTCACTTTTATTATACACTGTCATGTACATGTTTAGTCATGTTTGGCACCAGGTTTCTGTCAATGGGAGAGAAACGCTATAAAACAAAGAGAGAGAAACCCAGCTTCTAAACAGACCAGTTTACCGAATGAAGCACTTAGGAAAGCATTTTAGAATGCATCCTCCAAGTCGTGGTTTATTATTTTTGGTTTTGATCCATAAAATATTTCTTTAGTGTTTCTGTGGCTAGTGGAGGATGCCATCAAATTTGGTACAGGATCAACATGAATCCCACTGACTTTGGAGATCCATTTACTTGTTAACTCAGGTTGACATTGTTTGGTTCACCTTGAAATATTTTGTCAAACATCAGACTATTGGATTCGTTGTTTTTAATGTTCCCCACAGCCAGTGGTGGACAAGTTAATCAGATCATTTTACATGTTGCTGCATTAAAAGTAGCAACACCACAATTCAGGACAAAGTAAACTAAGTAAAAGTCATTTCAAATTCTATTTAAATAATGTAGTTTATTAACTACAAAATGTGTGTACTAATTATGTAGGCAGTTTACCTTTTTTGCTTTGGGATTATGATTATTATTACTATTAAAACATTAACTTGCAAGCATGTTAATGTTGCAGTGAAGCTAATCTATTTTATGTCGGGCTGGCTGGTATAGTTCACTTGATGAAAACGCATCGTATGTTGTTTTCATAATTATAGGCTAACAGGTTGATGCAGTGAAGTAAAAGGTACAGTGCTTTACAGTTAAATGGTGAAGCAGAAATATAAAGTAGCAGAAATTAAAGTTCAACTGGACTAAATTCCTGCAAAAAGTAGGGTTGTTGGGTCATAAGGGGGACTCTGCTGATGTTTTATCACTGTGAGCTGGTCTATACATTGCTGTGTGCCTTTGTAACTCATGTCCAGTCAGCTGAATTTGCCAAAGGTTCCGGGATCATCCTGAAGCAAATAGAATCTGAGCTCAGTTTGGACTTAAAATTCATGTGAAGTTTTGGATTTTTAACTGCAATAAAACAACAAAACAAACAAGAAATGCAATTATACTTTGACATTTTGATTTACTGTAGATTCCATCCATCCATCCATCATCTATACACCGCTTAATCCTCACTAGGGTCGCGGGGGGGCTGGAGTCTATCCCAGCTGACTTAGGGCTAAGGCAGGGGACACCCTGGACAGGTCGCCAGTCGATCGCAGGGCCTACTGTAGATTGAAAAGTTAATTTAGTCCATTTTAATTAACCCTTTTGCGCAAGAAAAAAGGACATGAAGACTTTTCCATGCTGCTGTAAAACGTGTCAAGTTGTGGCTGCAGACTCTCAGAATTATTTTGCAGCTACCTAAATAAAAAACTGAACTTTTTCTTATTCCAAATGACAAAAATATCATCTAGGAACACCATATTTAAAGATATTAGTTTTATAAATAAACATTTAAGAAATTTATGTTTGGAAGAGTTCTGGACATACAAACCACTTAACAACTTAAAAAATTGAAAGTGGACATTTTTACTTCAGTTACACTAATGTTATTAAAGCTATTGTTGAAAATTGTCAGCGTCAGCTCCCAATTTAATGCAGCAGAATCAGGAACAACAAATCTGCATCTATTGTAGTTATAGTTGTACGAGGCAGATTATTCATCTGTGACACATTTCAAAAATAGAATGTGGCTTTGTCCCAGTACAGAAACTTCCAGAATGAAAAGGGTTAAGCAATGAGGGACTTTCTAAAAAACTTGCAACAACATATATCTTGTTTCTATTTCTGGACAGGGCGGTGCAGCCAGAGACCCACCTGATCAAAGCCACGATGAAGGGCTTTCCAGTGCCATCAGCCAGGCAACTCCCCCAATACCAGTTCCTGCTATTGTCAAGGTTAGCCAGTCCCTTCACTTACTGCCATCTTTCTTTTAACTTTTACAAATGTAAAGCTTCTCCTGGTATAGACCATCTCACCTTCTTCCCCCTGAACAGTCCAAGACGTCAGACAAGAACCGACACAAGAAGCCCAAAGATGTGAAGCCCAAAGTGAAGAAGCTCAAGTACCACCAGTACATTCCTCCGGACCAGAAGGCAGAGAAGTCCCCTCCACCCATGGACTCGGCCTACGCCCGACTCCTCCAGCAGCAGCAGCTCTTCCTGCAGCTGCAGATCCTCAGCCAGCAGAAACACGCTAACACACATTCGCAGACGCAGCAGTCGCAACAGCAGCACGCACACACTCCGCAGACGCAGGCCCAGCTTCAGCAGAGGCAGCCTGCATTCAGCTACCAGCCTCATCCGCCGGCCCACTCCCAGAAGTAAGTCATGGGCCAATGATAGCAACCAAACTGATCAAACAGTCGTCACTCAAGGGCCACTTACTACCAACCAGTAAATTACATTTGCTTAGCATCTACTCCATGTGAAGCCAGTAGTTTCAGCTCTTAGAATGACCTTTGGAGTAAATGAATAGTTCACTCACAACCTTGTTCTGGACCTTCTGACCATATCACACAAGCCAGTCTTCATAAAGGGTGATGAATACTGTGTGTAGTCAAAAGCTGTGGAACAAGCAAGTCATTTGATTTTGAGCTGAGCTCGAGGTCAACAACTGTTGACTTTGAATGTGTAGAACAAAAGTCTTACTTGAAGGTATCATTCAGTACATTAATAATAAAGGGTCACTTTCTAATGAAGTCTACAGGTCTACAGTAGTAACTCATTAATACGTACCTCTGGGTATCACATTTTTCAACAAACTATAGCAGTCATTATTAAGGAGTAATGTAACTAAGTAGTGCATCTAATATGCTGTTAAGAAATATAGTCAGTAATAAACAATCAGGAGTGTTTTCCTCTCTTACCAGAGAAAAATAAATCAAGTCATGTCCAATTATTAAGCCTAACAAGTCTTTAGAGTGTTTAGACTCCTCAATCGTGTCCACAGTGAAAATTAAATCTGCATCAACTGATTTTGGGCCACTTGGTGGCAGCAAAAACAAGAAATAAACCCAACATTAACTGTGTTTGCTTTGCTTAGGTGGTGTACAAACAGTGAATAATGTCTTAATCTTGGCTTTTTAACTGAAAAACACTGCATCTGGAAATGACACTGATGAAGGAATAGTAAAGCTACAGGCCATAATACTGAAACAATGAGCTGAAATGGAGAGCAGCAGAGTTAGGTGATCATTTTCTGTCACACCAAAGTGACTCCTTTCATATTACACATAATGTTGTTTGATACATCGTTAATGTCCATTTTGCCAACATCCAAAACACTCATCACAGGAACTGACTGTTTACCTTCCATCCCAGACGTTGACATGTGCCATAATAAAATAATCTACATCGTTTGGTTCATCTGTGAGTGGTCAGAATGTTTTGGCTTATCTGTGTATTTTCACTTCTGCTGTAAGTGACCAACCAATTCCAATCCTTCCATTTCAGAGGAGCCAGTGAGCAGTTGTCAGCTTGTAGCTCCAGTGGTCCGTCCAGCACAGCCAACAGTAACTCATCCTCTCCAGTCAAGAACAACTATCCTAACCAAAGCAACATCTCACCGGTCAAACCTGGGCCCCTGCCAGCTAATCTGGATGACTTAAAAGTAGGTACTAATGGGATTAGCTTCAGGTAGACAAGCTTTACTGCCAATCAAATGACATCTAATCCAATGGCTTTGTCTTTGCTCTGTCAGGTTTCAGAGCTCAGGCAGCACCTACGTATTCGCGGCATGCCTGTCTCAGGCACCAAAACCGCCCTCATCGAGCGACTCCGACCCTTCAAGGACTCCACAGCTGGCTCCTCACCCTCAGGGTCCTCTGACATCACCACTGTGACCTTCCCTGTCACACCCACTGGTTCCCTGTCCTCCTACCAGTCTCCATCCTCCTCCAGCGCTCTGTCGCAGGGAGGATACTACCCTTACCCCAGCACCTCCTCCACCCCGCCAATCTCACCGGCCTCCTCGGAGCTGTCCCTCAGCGGCTCGCTGCCCGACAGCTTCAGCGATGTGCCCATGTCGTCACCAACACAGTTCGCCCTGCAGCCATCCCCGGCTCAGCTCAGCATGGAGGATGACCTGGGAGGAGGAGGAGGAGGAGGAGGAGGTGGTGGCAACCTGGGCGGGGGAGGACCGAGAGGAGGGGAGGGTGGAGGTATGGATGGTCTGGAAGCTGAAAAAGACAAGATGCTGGTGGAAAAGCAGAAGGTGATCGAGGAACTGACATGGAAGCTGCACCAGGAGCAGAGACAGGTGGGGGACGGTCTGATGAAGTGTTGTTCTTTAATATCGTATCAGTCTTAAGTTGCTCAGACTGAGATATTCATTAATGATCACGAAATAAGACGGCAAAAGAGCATGTTTTTGTTTTTCATTGTGAATTACTTCCTTTTCTACAATTCATGAAGCTTTGGTCAATGGCTGCTTCTAATGTGTCATATTTTTTAATTCCTGGAACCAGGAGATGAATTTATCTCTAACTGAATGACTGATTACCCTCAAGTGTAATCAGCTGTAGCTCCAAATACCTTATGGAGGGAAAGAGAGAAAGAAAATAAGCTCCCATTATTCAGAGCTGTTAAACAGCAGCCATTTTGATCATAGAAACATCTCATGTGTTCAACTCATGAATGGCTGAGTTCCATTCATTGTGAGCAGCTGAAGCATTCATTTCATTATTTATACCATAGATGTGTTGTAAATGAGTAGTAATTTGACAGATTTACCTCTGTGACCATGCTTGTTAGGTTGAAGAGCTGAAGATGCAGCTCCACAAGAGGAAACGCTGCTATGGAGCTACACAGGACGCCGCCCCTCCTTCATCTCATCCCTCCATGCACCACCAGCAGCAGACTCCAGCCATGATGAGCCAGCATTTTTTCGGCGTGACAATCAAGCAAGAGCCCATGTCCATGTCGTCCAGCTGCCCTCTGTCTTCTCCCAAACAGCTCAAGAGTCCTCCTGGAAGCTGCATGGAGGATATGGGACACTGCAACACTCCGATGGCCAACATGGGGGGTCCCGGTGGGCCACAATGTATGGACACAGGCCCTTCTTCTGGCAGTCCCTCCACTATGTCTGCCTTCCTTAGCCCGCAGTGCTCACCGCAAGACTCTCCCATTGGAAAAACTTCTGGCAGCCCCCAGCCGTCATCTCCCAATAACCCCTACCTGCTGTCTCCGCCGCTGGGAAGAGACGGCTGCAGTCTCCCCCACGCCCAGGGCAACAACAGGGCACGCAACATGCAGGTATGATGCCTTGCCTAGAAGCACCATGTTTAGCTGTTCTGTCGAAAACCCAAATCAAAAAGTGTGTGACATTATATCAGCGTTTAAAATAAAAAAGCAATTCAACTGTGACTATGCCAGGCTCGGAGAGGCTGTACTTAGGTTAAGCTGCTCTGTTGCCAGAGCTCAGTGTGTAAATAAAAAGGAAAAAGGCAGTGTGAGCACAGACATTACTGCAATCACAGTCATTATCATACTCAAGACTGCTGGGTTTGCACTGTGGTGCTGGAAAAAAAGTCACTGAGCCTCCTGTTGTGTTGCAGTGTCCTGTATCATTAGTATAATTAGTCAAACTGTGGTAGAAAATAAACTGTTATCTCCACCAATTCTTTTGTATTAAACACACAGGGCCGAATTCATTGCTGTCCAATACGATATATATATATATATATATACTGGCCATGTAAAATACACAGTATTTCAGCTGAGTGGAAAATGACCAACGTGGCAGCCTACAGGGGGTGTTTAATGGTGAATTTCTATGTTATTTTGTGTTTTACGGTCACTGTTTCTGTAGAAATGTCAACCTCATGAGAAAACAGGGGATGACCAGCGTCAGTAGCAGTCTTCATGTGTGGGCCACGAATGTGTGTTTTGTTGAAATATTTAAACCCAGACCCAATAATCTCACATGCTAGCTAAGCTGAAAACATGGGTAATCTAATGATTACCTTGATGATGTTCCCCTTTTCATGTGTCTTTCAAATTAGATCTGTGAAATTGCTAACGAGTGTCTTCCCTTTCCGTTTGGCGAACTACAGATGCAGCAGAAGAGCGGCGGCCAGCCAGTGAACTGTGCTTATCCTTCTGACCAAAGGAGCCTTCAGGGAGTCTTCCCCAGCTCAGCTGATTGTGGCCTGAACCATAACGGTTCTGCCAAGGCTGAGAGCCAGAACATGCAACCAAAGGTAAAAAAAAATAATGTCAACATTACGAGCATTTGCAGTGTTGTCACGTCAGCGTTGTGTACTTCACCTCAATCACCCCACAGTCACGTAACTGTTTTCCTCTTTTCTGTTCATTTGTGATCTGTCTCTGACTCTGTATAGTTTTCTTTTGCTGTGAGGTCCATTGTCACTCTTGTCAAATCTCCATTTTTCATCACACATTCCTTCACATGTCGGTGACACAACGCCAACCCATTTCTCATCGTTGAATATTTAATGTGATGAGCTCATTCAAACACCAGGGCCTTTTTATATTTCCTTTTATCTGCAACACTCACATTTGGTAAGCTCCCCTATGATATGCTAATGTCACTTTCACTTATTTCTCATATAGATGTCAGTATTGCCATCTCCTCGGCATGTTGCCCAAAAGAGCCAGGTCTCTCCCCCTGCCTTCAGTAGCTCAGATTCAGATGCACCTGACATAAGACAGCCCCCATGCTATGAGGATGCAGTCAAGCAGGTAAACTCAAATCCGTACTAAAATTCAGTAGAGATGGCTGGCCAGAGATTTTATTTTACCTTTTGGCGTTGTTCTAATTCCAATTTTCACCCTTGTCTTCTTCTTTTTTTTTGTCTCTTGAAGTCCATCACTTGTCTTGCACTACTTCTTTTCATCCATCGCTTTATTCACTGCACTTTCCACTGAACTTTCCACCCTTTACCAAGCCTGATGTAGAATGCTATGTCAGTTGTAAAAGCTATTTTTGGAGGCAGACATCACCAGAGCACTGACTTAATGTCCTTTTCTGTAAAATGTCCCACATAATATATATCTGAGGTAGAATCCTTTTAAAATATAAAAACAGCTTCATAAGACCTTTGTTTAAAGTTATGGTTTTAATCAATATATTATCAGAAGAAATGACAGTAACTGTCTTAAATCCATCAGTGGCTGGGTTCTAAGAGTGATCAGGT